CACTCATAGGTAATGTAAGGTAAGGGAATTAAAAAAATTGCTTTCAAACCAACCACCAAGTGAGGACAATAGGTTAAAGATTAAATAGCACAATGACAAAGAAACGCACCAGCTGGTCCATGTTTTTCAAAGGACAAGTCAGGATTGACAAGCGAGTAGCACAAAGGACAAAGTTTTGAAAACTACTTAAACTCGCCCAAACATTAATGGAAATAAATCTATGTTTCTGACATTTTTGAAGAAAATAATAAAATAAAAAATCTGTTGCTCTAATAATAATAATATGGCAATAATGAGAAGACAACAACTCCTGTAAAAAAGTGAAAAATATTATTCACCGGTTTACCTCATCATCTTCTTCCAATGTTGACCACATATATGACAAGTATTGACAAGAACAGAAAATTGCTTACTGGTTTACAGTCATGTTTTTCTATTTTTGTTACAAGCTCTAAATTCTAAATCCCATATATGTCAATGAGGGTTTGCCTAAGATGTTGAGGCTTTCTTTATTTTTCATTTAAAAAAAAAAAAAAAAAAAAAGTTGGGGGCCGCGGGGGTTTTATTTTTTATTTAAAAAAAAAAAAAAAAAAAAAGATGTTGAGGCCGACGGGTTCGAACCCCACCAGTTGCATCTTGTAAAACCCACCCCAAAATATTCCCCCTCCCCTCCCCCTTCCTATCGATTGTCAGAAAAACTCAGCATCATGGCGTGGTCAGCTTACTCTCTCTCTCCTTTTTCTTTTCAATTATTAAAAAAAGTAACAAAATTAAAGTTTTTATCGAGAAGATCAAAAGGGTACACGTGCAAAGTGACTTGTGACCAAACACAGTGATCAATGAGGGCCAACCAACCAGTCTACGCTTTGAAAGGACAGCACGTGGGTTTTTAAAAAAATAATAAATAATAAATAAAAAAAATTATGGGTAAGCCTTTATTTTATTAGAGGGTTAGAGATGGGCACCAACTTTAGAGAATCAGAGACAATGGTATACCCTTGTTCATCTGGGTATGTTGGGAATTATTGGTCATCCGGGTAGCTTTAGTTTTTAGTTTTCTTGTTGATTCATTATTGGTTTTGGGGAAATATTTGCCTTTAATTTTTTGTGACCCCTCTATCCTGTGCTCTTGTTCATAAAGTGGGCACCTTTGGTTTTGGTTAATTTCGTGACTTGAATTATCGTGTCTTTGGGTGTTTGAAGTCTGTGACTTATTTGTGATATGGGTCGGTGCTGGTTTTGTGGTATGTCAATGGGCGCTTTGGATGAGGAGAAGAAGCAGGAGCGATGGGGAATGAAAATAGAGATGGAGACAGACTGAGACAAGAAGAAGAAAAATAAGAGAGAGAGAGAGACTGACGTAGAGAAGAAAGAGAGAGGGAACGGAGCCACGTGTCTAGCAAGTAATGGGACAATAGCTTTTGCGCGATTGTTTTGTGAATAGCATTCCTCAAGTGAGAAAGCCTGTCCAAAAATAAAAAAAGACCAAGTGAGAAAGTGAGAAAGAGAAAGATGAACGAAGAATGGGCCGCACACTGCATTGTAAGCTTGTGTTTTTGTTTATGTTTTGTTTTGTTGGTAAGGGCTGGATTAGGGTTAGATAGCCTTGTTTAGTGTGTATTTAATGTATTTAATAATTATTTGCCATTTGGTATCGCAAATTAACAAGGCTTCTTGGCATTTATCCTGCCGACTTGCACCGAAACCTTATCATTCAAAACAAACTAGCCTAGATTAAAGGAAAAAAAGAAAGTCAAGTAGGGACGGTTTCAAACGCATTTTTCATGTCGATGAAGGTTAACTTTCTGGTATGCCCTTTGAAGTCTCTCTCCTCCAACCAAACCAAGCACCCGCACCCTCTCTCTCTCTTTTCTCCGAGCACCCGCACCCTCACCCTCACCCTCACCCTCACCCTCACCCTCTTCTCTCTCTCTCTCTCTCTTCTCTGAGTACCCTCTTTGTCCCTTGTCTGTATTCTTCACGTCTTCTCCAGATGCGCTCCCTGTGTTTTCTTTTGTATGAATTATTCAGGTTTTGTTCGTCAGATCGGTGTTCTGTTCTTAATTATCTCTCCCAACCAAACCAAGCATCCGCACCCTCTTTGTCCCTTGTCTGTATTCTTCACGTCTTCTCCAGATGCGCTCCCTGTGTTTTCTTTTGTATGAATTATTCAGGTTTTGTTCGTCAGATCGGTGTTCTGTTCTTAATTATCTCTCCCAACCAAACCAAGCATCCGCACCCTCTTTGTCCCTTGTCTGTATTCTTCACGTCTTCTCCAGATGCGCTCCCTGTGTTTTCTTTTGTATGAATTATTCAGGTTTTGTTCGTCAGATCGGTGTTCTGTTCTTAATTATCTCTCCCAACCAAACCAAGCATCCGCACCCTCTTTGTCCCTTGTCTGTATTCTTCACGTCTTCTCCAGATGCGCTCCCTGTGTTTTCTTTTGTATGAATTATTCAGGTTTTGTTCGTCAGATCGGTGTTCTGTTCTTAATTATCTCTCCCAACCAAACCAAGCATCCGCACCCTCTTTGTCCCTTGTCTGTATTCTTCACGTCTTCTCCAGATGCGCTCCCTGTGTTTTCTGTTGTATGAATTATTCAGGTTTTGTTCGTCAGATCGGTGTTCTGTTCTTAATTATCTCTCCAACCAAACCCAGCACCCTCTTAATATCGTCTCATCTCTCCAGACCAAACCAAGCACCAGCACCCTATTTGTATTGGCTTTCTTTGTTTATTCATGCCTTTTCCAGATGCCCTCCTTGTTTTTTCCTTATTTAGGTTTCGTTGGTCAGATCGGTGTTATGTTCTGATGGAGGTTGCCTTTCGATTCGCTGGAGGGTGTTTCGTTACTGGGGATTTGTGTCTCCATCTGATGGAGGAGGATGCCTTTGAATTACATAGATTTGTTCGCTGGAGGTGGCTCTTGCATTGATCTGGGGAGGCCATCAGCTAACGGTCTTACGAGGATGAGGAAGATTTTTTTCTGTATCAGCAGGGCCTCGAACCACTTGGATTCAAGTATGGGTGAGAATTTCTTCTTTTTCTATTCTAGTTTTAAGTTTTTATTAGGATTTATATATATATATATATATAAAATTCTGATGATGTATCTAGATTTTATCTAAATTGATCTATAAATCTGTTTGGTCGTTTTAAGTCTCCAACTTTTTCTGCTAGATTTCAAAAAACATGAAAACTGTGGCACGGACCTCAAGATACAGCTTTTAAGTATTTCAGAAATTGGAATAGTATAAACTAAGGGTGGGCATCAGCCCGGCCGAACCAAACCATAATTACCGGTTTAGTTTAGTTTTGATCAAGAAAAATTTAAACGGTTTAAAAACCAAATCGGACCGTGGTTTGGTTTTGAACTTTTGTAAACCGGCTCAAACTAAACCAGACAATTTATGTGTATATTTATTTATTTATATTATATTTTACATGTGTAATACTCTAATTAGTTAATTAATATATATGAATATATGAAATTTTGAATTGAGCTATATTAGTTAGTGAAATATGAAGTTTTATGACATTTTGCGCTTTAGGATGGTTTTGTACTCTAAAAAACGATTTATGTATGAAGTAAGTTGTGAATTTGTTGATTAAAATTGGGCAAACAATGTTGAAAAAATGCAAAAAGAAAGAGAATTGGGCTTAGGCCCAAACCAACCGAACCAAACCGTCTTAAATCGGTTTGATTTGGTTCGGTTTGGTTTCCTTTATAACTTTCGTCCAAACCGAATCAAACCAAATCGTCATATCATGTTTTATTTTTATGAGTAACTTTTTCAGAAATTGGATTGAGCACTTGTGTTCTGTTATTTTTGAATAATTGAGTAAAAACTGTATATTTACCCTATTTTGTTGTTGATGTGTGTGCATAAATTATCTTTTTTAGTGAGTCATTTTGGTATACGTCTCATATTGTGATTTATAGTTCATATGTTAGTATTGCGAATAATAGTAATAAACCTGCTTACTAGCTTAAAATTAAAAGGATGATGGCTAGCCTATAACATGTGATGTAGGATATGGGTGAATTGAGTATTTAGGTCGTTTTAATGGAAGTGAAAACAATGGAAAACAGAAATAGAACAAACAGGATAGGTCTGGAATCACTCTAGGGGTTTGGCTTCACACCAAGTAGTCTCCAATTTCTGGAAAATAAACTTTTCTTTATATCTCAACAGCTCAAATTCATAATGAATTACATGAGAGGGGTATTTATATCGAAGTAAAACCTAGAGACAATAGGATATAAAAAAATCCCTTGCTAAAACAGAAATTCTAACCTAATAAAATAGGAAACTTATAAATCCTACTGAAATCTGGAAAACTTAAAAATCTTACTAAAATCTGGAAAACTTAGAGAACAAGTTAGAAACTAATCGCAGGAATAAAAAATTGCCAAATTTAGAAACTAAAACTTCAATCCCTAGAAATCAAATTTGGGGCTGCAGACCAAATTTGATTAAACGGCTAACCAATTTGGCCCAACAATTCCAAAGAGTGATTTGAAAACACAACGAAATTGAAGCTTTATGCAGAGTTTGGTTTCGATAAGTGAACAATCATGCATTTTGTCATGTTAGTATGACTATGAGATTGTAGTAAAATCAAAATTCGGATACGAAGTTGACGCTTCAAAAAAATTTAGATAAGAAAAAAACTGAAACTTGATAAATTTTCGACTAATAAAGTTAAATTTACCATAAGCTGTGAGCTCAATAACACATTATAGAAACCGACATTTCTCTATAGAAGCAAACCCCTCTTGCCGAACCTAGTGAGCCATACCCATATGGTTGGAAAGCTTGGGCTATATAAACGAGATTAGCCCAAACCAAACAAATTTCAAAATGGGTTTTGGCCTATAAATCCTCTGCAGTTCAGTACCGCCCCATTCTCCTTAACTTCAACTCTCATTCTTCTGCTGTCAACTTTTCTTTCTTGTAAAATTACATTTGGTTCAGATCTTCCACTCTCTCAGAGCAAGCAGGACCCAAGTAAGTTCCATCTCTCCTTACTTATTATCGTAGTTTAAATATGCTTTTTGTTCAGCAATCGTTCCTTTTCTGTTTCATTTAACAGATCTGAGTTCTTTGCACCTTAATTTTAGTTTAAAAAAAAGATGTATATAGTTGTTTGTTTTCAGATAAAATGTTTTGCCCAGATGAAATTCCTTTTGGTAGATAGTGGTGTCTGCTTCTTTTGATCCTTATTTTTAGCCATATTATTTTTCTGCCTCTTCTTCACTCTCTACATTTCACACCTATATCTTCCAACGCATCAAAATAACCCACCTACCACAATTTGGTTCAGATCTTCCACTCTCTCGGAGCAAGCAGGACCCAAGTAAGTTTCATCTCTCGTTACTTATTATCGTCGTTTAAATATGCTTTTTGTTCAGCATTCGTTCCTTTTCTGTTTCATTTAACAGATCTGAGTTCTTTGCACCTTAATTTTAGTTTAAAAAAAAGATGTATATAGTTGTTTGATTTCAGATAAAATGTTTTGCCCAGATGAAATTCCTTTTGGTAGGTAGTGGTGTCTGCTTCTTTTGATCCTTATTATTTGCCATATTTTTTTTCTTCCTCTTCTTCACACTCTACATTTCACACCTATATCTTCCAACGCCTCAAAATAACCCACCTACCACAATTCTCTCTCTCTCTCTCTCACTCTCTCAAAAACATAAAATTAAATCAAGGGTACAAAAGAGAAGGGGAAATAAAGAAGGGAGTCTAACTACCATCTTGATCATATCTTGCTTCAAGGTCTTTCATAGAGAGCAAAGACGGCACATTCTTTTGCCAAGGGTTTGCCATTTTAAAGCCATGAAAGTTTTGGTACTGCTCCCTTTGAATGATGATAAATGCGCTTCTAATAAGGCACATAGAAGTGACTCCATATTGGATCCCTAGTTGTAGACCCTCATAAACTTGGTATTTCACTAGCCTACCATGCTACTGCTTTATTTTTGAATGACCCCATTCATGATATCACTCAGTAGTACAATATATACTATAGTGCCTCTGATTTTTCAGTGCCTTCTGTCTTTCTTTTTATTTTTTCCATCAGAACTATTTGAAATCTGTTTCTTATATTACCAACCAAGTATGATCAAGATCGGGCTTTCACACTCCCGGATTGTTGTACCACATGTATTTCTTTCGTGTGTGATTTAAGATAATAAGATATTGATTTGGAGCACAGAAATCTAGAGTGTAAATATAAGTTGCGTAGGAATAAATAAGGTCCAAAAAAGTATATTTAGTTGCCTTTTTGTCTCCTCAGCCATTGGTGTCATGAATAAGGAGGTTTCTGCCTCAATCATTAAGTAGAAACAAGACATAATTTAAACTTTGATGGGCTCACATCATTCACATAATAGAAACAAGATAAATGTGTGCGTGTGTGTGTCTCTCTCTCTGCGCCTCTCTGTTTTTGTGTCTCTCTCAAATCAATTGCACTGAATATAAGTCTCTATAGTCTTGTGATTTTCTGGTCTTTTTGGCTTTCCTCTATATATATATACACACACACACACTTGCATACACTTGAATCCTATAATTCTGCAATCTCAAGTGCTAACTTTAACATGCCTTTGGATACAGATGGCACCCATATCACGTGAGACTCTGGTGAAGCAGATGAAGGCAGTGAAAAGACTTCCAAAACTGAAAGGAAAAGCCAGTGAGAAGGTGGCAGGAGAGATCAGCTTGCGCAAGAAGAAGCTGTTAGAAATGGACAGCATATTCGTGGAGAAGTACGAAGAATTGCTTTTCGTGGCGGAGCTGGTTCGTGGAACAAATTGGGAAGGACAGATTGCAGTAGCTGCGAATATAGATACCAAGTCGAAGAAGGAATTGGTCGCCAAAGCTAAAGGTCTTCACTTGAACGCTGATTTGGCCCCTCCCCATTACAAGGAGTAACTCAATAGAAGTCCTTGTCTCCAGTAGTTTCCAGGACAGACTGATTAAAAATTACAAACATGAACAAGATTTCATTTTCATCTGTAACAAATTGCCATGTATATTACATTTATCTAGAGGATAATCCACTTGCTGTAGCAGGGATCTGCCCCCTCTTTTCTTCTTGCTCTTCTGGCTAATTTTTGAGGGAGGGAAACCTATCATATGTGTACTTGGCACCTGATCCTAAAATCCATAGAAAATGAGGAAAAAATTAACACCATCTCAAGTTTAGTATCTGTAATATCTTCTTCTCTGGACCTAATTTTCAATCTTAAATAAACAGCAAATCAAATTCACCTGATGCTCCTGCATCCGTATGTGCAGTTATAATCTCAGACCCTACCAAATTTGAGGGCATTGTTAAAGAAGGGTGCAAAGTATGTTGTTGTCCAAGGTTTGCCAATGTCAGGGTGCTTGCCATTGGCCATGACCTTAGCTCCCGAAGATGACAGACGGTATAGGATGTGCGAAGAGTGCAAACAACCAAACCTATGGCCATAACCTTGTCCTCCAAGCCAAGTTGCAACAACTCAGGACACAGTTTCCACATGCTGTCATCACCTATGCTGATTACTGGAATGCCTATTTCAGTCATGAAGAATCCAAACCAGTATGGTTTCAAGGAGAGCTTCAAGGCCTGCCGTGGGACAGGTGGCCCTACAACTTTGAGTTGTTTGCTGTGTGTGGCACGCCGTCTGCTATTGCCTGTTGAAGTCCTTCCAGTACATAAACTGGGATGGAGTTCATCTCACTGAAGCCATGTACAAAGTGCTTACTGATATGTTCCTCAATGGCAAGGCCACTCACCCTCCCTTCAGTTACTTGTTGGACATGAAACTGCGTCGCGTATGAACTGCTTGCCTTTGGATCACCTTAATGTTATGTTGCTTGTGATCTCAACCGAGTAGATTGTAGTTATGAAGCAAAAGAAAAACAAATCGGATGGTATAATCGGTGTTAGTTACTACTGCTTGAGAACACTTCTCAGGCTTCCATAATTTAGAACATCTTCTAAAAAATTTACATGTTGAACTATTCATCAAATCGTACTTGTTTCTAAATATTTGTTGTTTGGGAGGAATTGAACCTACGAAATCGCCAATTATTTCTCATTGAAAGCCAATGAATTAGAGTCAACAAAGGAAATGATGCACTGCTGGTGCCATGGGTTTTAATCATCCAACAAAGGTTAAAAAAGAAAAATTGTTATCTCTCTGCAAACGAACTCCTCACTAAATGCAACATGTGAGTCGCATGGCCTGACAGCATTTCCATCACAAATTCAAAATTGCATGATAAAAGAAGTGACTCTTCTGATATATATAATTTGTATCTCTTACACAAAGCATGTACATTACTGCCGCAGGTCAGAACCCACAAGTCCCCTGAATTCACTCTCTTTATACTTCCCCGGCAGAACGGGCAAGATTCCGATCTTGTGTTCCTATAACACATAAAGATGCAAAGATGCAAATACTTCCCCGGTGATACTGGATGAGACAAAAGCAGAAAATAGAAGAACAACTATTTTGGGGATTAAGGAAGAACTACGTTATTCATACCAATCGCGGTAGCAATTAATGCACATGGCATGGCAACAGTTTGGCAAAACCATTTTGGTACGAGGCTCCAAGCAGATGCCACACTAATTTTCTCTCTCCAAGTCTACATCTGAAAGCTTTATCTGATCCTCATATCTCTTCCTAACAGCCATCTCTAGAGCTTCCTCATCTCCAACGAATCACCATGGAGACACTGAAGGGATGGTAATATAACATCTGCAGTTTTAGGTTGGGAAGAAATATGAAAGCAAACGCAGAAACACTCAAGCACTTGGATTTCATTCTTACGAGGGGACAAACATTAAACTACTAATTTGCTCTAGAAACAAATGAACCGGCAAGCAGAAACCAACCATATATACAATTATGTGGAAAATATTTAAGTAACTTGAAAGTAAACATGAAGAGGAGCAATCAATCCATTGAAGCAAAAACAGGAAAATGGGTGCCAAGTGATCGTAAACCAATTTCATTTGAAGAACCGTATCACTCTTGCGTCTGGGGATGGAAACTGCCCTGCAAACATATATTTATTCAAGTAACATCAAAAGTCACTTAACTTCATCAACCAAAAAAAAGGTCTATTAACTCGGCAAAACATTCGAAGGGTCAGCAACAAATTCATAAAACAAGGTAAGCAAGGAACCAGACGGCGTGCTCTTAAAACTATGGACTGAACCTCAGGCCATTTTTAAAATTGCAAATATTCAGCAAACCCCCAACATTAGTTCAACTATAGCCAGCAGAGAATGTAATGATAAAATAACAGGGGGAATCCAGTAGTATATATCCAAGATTATGTACAGAAGACTTGCAAACTTCCTAGCATGCTCATTATCCACATAAAGATCAAAGCTTGTGAATTGGGGTCAACATGACAACAAATTTTGGAATTCATTTAGCATAACAATGACAGCGAGAACAAAACGCGTTGTATGCAGATTATGTCCATACGCAAATAGTTATTAGTTTCAGAACCAAAAAAATACTGAAATGCAAAACAACCATATTCTTTTTCTCTTTTTCTTCCCCAATTATTTTTTGCAGAATCAATCCATCAAAACCAAAACCAAAATTAATAAAGAAATAGAAACCCATGCATTATTTTGACCCTTCTGGATATTGCAGAGTAGGATTCAGCCTCAAAATAGTAAATGTAGGATATGGCATGCTGAATATCAGGGTACAAAGTTAGAAGCCTATAACTTTATTTCACGTTCTCAAACCCCGTTTCAAAACACAATATAAACAGAAAAAAGCAGATTAGAAAGGAAAAAAGAGGAAGGGGGTTACACTCACAGATTATTGGCACGCTGAATATCAGCCTCAAGAACCTTAAGAGAATCATTGTAAGGACTGCCAATATTTGAGGTAAGAATTGAAATAGGATTCTGGCCTCTTCTAATTGCATCTTGTAACTTGTCCAGTAGGTTATTAGTGTTTTCGTCAGAACCTAATCCTCTTTCCAGATAATCCATGGAACCATGGGAATCCAGGAAGTGTGTTAACTGTGAATACCAACAAATAAATAAGTCTAACACGAAGAGCCTCGGACAAGATATTTCATGAAATGAAGAGTAAAAGGATACTAAAGAAAAAACGTTGCTGAAATAAACCAACAACAACACAAAAACACACGTTTGACTGGTTTGCTAGAAACTCTGCAATATGTAAAGTCTCAACAATTACAATCATGATCATAACTACATTAGTCATACCAATTACTACAATTATGACTAGGAATTATATCTACCAATAATTACTAAATGTGAGTCGATATCTCGAAGATAAAGATGGGTGCAATGAACATAAATACCATGGGTTCTGGTGGTTGGCCAATCAACCGAGACCGCATCGTCAAGAATGCTTCAGTGTTGAAGACATGAGCAGCAGAAACTTCCTTCGGAAAAGAAAAAAAAACACAATTCCACCAAATACAATTTAAAGGAAACTACAAAGACAAATGAATAGACCAATTCACACATCAAATTAGATAAAAAGTTTCATACTATGAAGTTTCGGTAGCCACTTAAAAGTGATGCAAAGAACTTTAAGAACACTAACCTGCACATGAAACCAAATGCACAGAATATGTGTGAATACTTAACACACTCCAAATATTCGGGCTTAAGAAACAACTAATAAGCCATTAGCTCAGAGGGAAGACATAGCTTCAAGACCTCTCCAACATTAAACTTTAAACTTTAAGAAAAAGAAAAGAAGAGAATAACAATGACTACACTGATGTTTGTTGAAGTATAATGAAAAGCTTATAATCTGCAAAGTTGGTCACAAAATTTAAAATAAATCAAGGCAAAATTGCCCCTTCAGTCTTTTACAACAAAACTGGAACCCCTGCATTTAGTTCGCTAATACTTCATAATTATTTTGCTTGGCACCCGACTATCACCTAGGTTGAAGGTCATGATCCTCTCCCCAAGGTTTGTTGACACCTTCAGGATATTGCTCAGGCAAACTATATAAACCATCCTTCATCTGATCTATCCCTCCCCACAACATTGGGGATGCAAAAATTTTGTCATCTCCCCACGCAAATCGCCTAATTCTGGCTCTGGGAAAGGAGGTATATCTTCCGTCATCATGATACGATTACACTCAAGGTCAACAACTACTACCTAGAACCACAAGGGGAAGGCAAGAAAACAGATATTACATCACTAACTTTCTTACATGCTACAAATTTCATCATGATTTTGCAATCTTGTGGAAAACATGAAAGAAGAAATCACAGAAAAAGAAACCAAAACAAAGATAGAGACAAAAAGAAGGTAAGAAGGGCAAGCTGTAAGAGATATGCAACATTGTAAAGAATAGAAAACTTAAGCCTAAGTAATTATACAATATACAGCCACGAATTCCTGTGATAGGTACTTTGACCAAATACAGGTCAGGATGAAATCCAAAGGTTTCCCAACATATTGTTATTAACTTATAAGCTATGCTGTTGGGAACCTAACAACCATATAACACATATAAAAGGTCATGAGATTTATTGTTCAACCAGCACATGTAAATTAATAACTATATATTGACGAAAGTGCAGTTTATGCAGAACAACTTACACCATCGATGGCCAGAGTAGATGTATCAACGCCTGAATGGAGACCCATCATTTATGGCGTAGGCGCATCAATATAGTCTACTCCACTGAAAAAGAGCAACAGAATGTAGACTTGCTTCCACACAATAAACATGCAAAAATTAGAACAAGAGTCAAATACAGGAAGCATACAAGATAATGCTAAAGCATTATGCATTCCATCTTTGAACAAAAAATAAGTTCTTTTGAAAATGTTGGAATGTAAAAAATTTGCCACCACAATGACAAAACTAAATGAAGCACAAGTAAAGGGGAACATGTTTTCCTAGACCCATCAAAAGCAAAAGGCAGACGCATTCAACTAAAAAAGAAGAAAACAAAGAGGCTGTGCATCAACATTTTTTAATTGTTACTATCTCTTCTAAGTTTGCTCAATCAATCATGTACGTTTGTTTTAAAAATATTTTGTGATGAATTGGGTTTCTGACACGTTTTCCTGGGTTTGCATTTCGATGTGTTTTGAAGGTGGAGAGAAGGATTGATTTGGTCTATGGTGGTGGAAGCGTGGGATTGATGGGTCTTGTTTCTCAGGCAGTTCATGATGGCGGGCGCCATGTCCTAGGGTTTGTAATTTAATCTCTCTCTCTCTCTCTCTCTCTCTCTCGCTCTCTCT